AAATTCATCTACTTGTTTTTCTACCACATTAAAACTCAAAAGTCATTTGGATTGCAAGTAAAAGCTACCAAAAAGAAAAACAGCAGTAATAATTTTGTCATGTAATCACTTTTTTCTGGACCTCAGTTTGTTCATTTGCAAAATGAGAGGAATAGGACTAAGTGATTTATAAGGTCCCTTTCTACAACCTATGATCCTGTTGTTATTATTTTTAAAAGTTATACGCTATAATTGGTAGCTGTTTCTAATGTACCTGTAGGCATATTTTTCCAATATCATTCCATTAGGATCTTATAATGGTGATGTAGTTTATTTGACTCAAAGAACACACACACACTCCAAGATACATGGGTTGGGTTTTTTTTTGTTTGTACTCAGATCATGCTTATGTTCAGTATAAACACCTGTACCATGTTCAAATAATACTGAACATATTTTCAAAATATTTTATGTTTTTGTTCAGCTTTTAAAATCAGTATTTTGTAATAATTTTATTTTACTATTTTTTATTAAATATTTATTCAGTTGCTGAGTTTCCTTTAAGGGTTTTTATGTGCTTATTTTTAAATGATGAATATGGTATACCTACTTTAAACCTTTATAGTTTCACTGCAGTTTTACCTTAGCAATTCAGGATCATGAATCTTATAGTTTAAAATCATTTTGTCAGCTTTCGATAGAAAAATGTGCCTAGAATGCATCATTTGAAATTAAGTGCCTTTTTGCACAGCTAGCTTTTAGATACCTCATCTTTTATGGGAAGAATAAAGTCTTCTCTAATATATTATTTGGCATACAGCAATGCAGGAGGCCTAGTAGCAAATAATTTGTGTTTCCTCTTCTACAAAATTTCCAAGGAAGGAGGCTGGATTTTTAAAAAATTATTATTATTGTGTATCTCCTAAAGATGTAATGGCGAGATCGAATGGAAACAGTGCTGGGTTTATAGTTAGAGGATTTGATTTCAAATCCTGGCTCTGCCATTTACTACTTGTACAACCTTGGAGAAGTCACTTAACCTCTCTGGGCCTCAGTTTCTCCATTTATAAAATGAGAGGGTTGTACTAAATACCCTTTTAATTCCTTTCAAGTTTTAAATATCATCCTGTGTTTGACCTGAGGTTGTGGCAGCTAATTACTGATTGGTTAATTAGTTTTGTCTTTATGGAGGAAGTGGTGGCATTTGAATTGACCTTTTAAGGATGGGCAAGACTTCAACACATGTAGAGGAGAAAACGATAAGCCAGGCAGAGGGAACAGAATGAGCAAAAACAAGGAGAGGTGGAGAGGTGGGAAAACAGAGTAGACATTCAAAGACAGCAGTCCAGCTTCACTGATGCATAGAATGTACAGGGGGAAATCCTCTGAGATACCCCATGGGGGCATGTTCTCCCCTGTACCACCTTGGTCTGGGTCAGGGCGTGTCATGTAGGAAATGACCACTAGATAGGTCCTGACCTCAGCTTCCTCTGGCCGTGAATCACCAAAGGCTGCTCCTTGGGGCATTGATGCTGCTCTGGCTCTGGAATCCAAGCTGTGGAGCACTGGAATGCTGGAATGCCCTCCTGATAATTTGAGCTTACTGACTCAGAGGCCCTTTCACAGGTCCATCTGACCTCAGAGGGGAAAAGACCCCATGGCCTTTCTCCTTACTTCATTATCTCTCGCCATACATTATGAGTGAAGGAATCACCCAATGAGGCCCCTGGGAAGTACCTGAAATTGAAAAACCCTTTTGATCAGCCTGTGCAGCCAAGCCACAAGCCTCCTATTTCATACATGGTTAGCCAGCCAGAATAAGTTGTTGTTTGTCCTTCATTTTTGAAAAGGACCAATGACATCACAAGACAGTGTCTGAATTGGATTTAAGTGAGCCAGTTCCAGAATATCTGTCCTTACTCCACGGTCTCTCCAAAGCACTTCCATTCCTTGACCTCTTGACTCTTCTGGAAGCATGCTCCATAGCCCCATATGAAGAAGTTGCTTTATCCAAACAAGCTGATGGAGTCTGGGCATGCATTAGACCCTTATTACATAGTTATTATTTCTTTCCTACATTTGGAAGAATTATACTTTGGTCAAAAGAAATATGAAAAGTTCAGTTCCTTTTGCTTTCATATCCTTAGCTTTTTTGACTTTTTATAGTACAGATGAGTTCAAGATGATCAGTTCTTTTAGGGGAGACATTAAATACCCTGGACTCTGTCAGAAATATCAAAAAAAGGATGTTCACAGAAAGCTTAGATGACCAGCCTAGCGTATTGATGGAACCCTTTTGTAGATTGGTTAAAGACTGTATAGCAAGAATAAAAAGTTGTCCTACAAGAAGGAAGGAACAGAAATCTCTAGTCTAACTTTTCTTTTGAAAGTGGTAGGAATCTTTTCACCCTTCCTCTGTTAGGAGGATCCTTTCATATTATTGAATCCAACTGTGTGGACAATGATGTACCCAGGCAACCTTGCAAAACTATAAAGATCCAAGATATTTTGACACCATGGTATCCGAACATATTTTTAACTGTGCTCAGTAATCAGATGAAGAAGAGTAGAAATATTAAGTCAGAAGTCCTTGGTGTCCATTATAGAGCCATTAGCCTGTAGAGAAATGCTCAACAAATAATTAGTGGATTAAATTTGTTATTCTGTGGCTACCATGTGTGTTATTTTAAACCCTGATAATGGAGTATCAATGGTGGTGCTAGGTATCCTCTTGCTCAGAAAGACAGTCAACATATATGTGTATGTGTGTATCACAATCACATAGAAACCAACTTAGTGCTTCAAGACACTATTTTAGTGGGCCTCTTTTGTTGAACTACAAGAGTATCGAGCAAACAGGAAGGTGTGTTGAATTTTTAGGCACTTTATGAGTCAGTCTCAGTCAACAAACATTGATTTAAAGTTACCCTTTAAAGGAATGTTACCACATTGCAGGATGGGGGGTGGGGGAGAAGGGGGAGAGTTTTTTATTTGTTTCTTAAAGCAAATCTAGAATGTTCTACAAAAAGGTTAGTCATCTAGTTTTACATTTTCTAGTTAGTTTCTAGACATCAATTAGAAACACACCATTTCTTAGAGATTTAGGCATGTGATCCTTGTGTAGCTTTAAGACGGAGCATAGGTGGTATTTGAAATGTTTATATAAGGCTGATATAGTTAAGGTTTACCACAACTGATTAATACTCAAACATTCTCACACGTTTCTAAAACTCCTTATTTTTTAACAGCTACTCATTTTAGGATGTTGATGGTATTTTACTTCACTTAATCAAATATTTATTAAGTGCCTACTATGTGCCAGGCATTATACTAAGCTTCTTTCATATATCCTTTTAAAGTGCTTAGGGTAAGGTCAGGTCTATGAAGGTATTCATTGCATTTTGGGTTTTGTGCCCAATTCAGACTTAGAGTGTTGAATTTATAAGGCTTATTTCCCAGACTTTGCAAAACCAGACCAGATTGGGTTTGTGAAATTCACTTAGTTCCTGGAATTCTCTGGGAAATTTGAACACTTGCCAATTGATCTGGAAATTAGTTGGTCATTCTTGTAATTTGCCTGCAAAAGGAAGTATTGTCTGGTGTTGTCATCAAGGGATTAGAAATCTTGGGTTCTTTTTCTGTTTGTTTGGTTTAAAAAAACAAACTCTGTAGTGCAGGGCTCTTACACAACTCTTTATTTATCCTGTTTAAGACCACTACCCTTATATTTGCTTTTTTTGCTGTAGTAAGTCTATAAGAAACTGTTGACTAAATAATTAATTACCTATTCTTTTAGGCTTTTTAGGTGAATTCTTGAATCAATATAGTTCTCTAAGGACCTAGAACAAAAGGCCTATATGTTTTGTTAAGAGTATAGCTTTACTAATCAAGATAGGGGTCCATACTGGGGGCATGGTGATAGAATAAGAATGAGAAATTTAAGCTTCCATGGCTTCTTTCAAATCTCAACTAAAATCCCACCTTCTCCAGGAAGTCTTTCATTAGTTATCACACTTAATTCTAGTGCCTTCCCTCTTTTGATTATTTTCAGTTTATCCTGTATATAGTTTGTTTATATGTAGTGGTTTTTTTTTTTAATGTTGTCTCATCTGTTAAACTGTGAGCTTGGAGAAGGGGGGTGACTGGGTGCTGTCTTTTGCCTTCTTTACATTCCCAGCACTTGACACATTGCCTAATGCATAATAGGCACTTAATAAATGTTTATTGACTTACTGACTGACTTTATTTTATGCTAGCTACGGAGCCGTGGGAATAGCTGACAGTATTGCTCTGGTTGAGTGTCTAGGACTAGTACATTCTGTTTTGTTATATCCCTGGAGGCTCTCCTATAATATATGGCTTTATATGTCACCTTGGGCATATGGTAAAAATTCTAGAAGCACAGGAGACCTTTAAGGGAAAAAATCAATTCAGTATTTCACATGGTTGTATCTTTGATATATCTTTATGCGTTAGCATAGGTGAGTTGTTTTATAAATTCACTGGGTCCCTAACTGCCATTGCCAAGTACATCTATTGGACAGTTAATGGGTTCCTGAAATGCACCTCACTCTTACAAGAGGTCAGGTTAAAAAAATGCAAAACTGTCAACCACATAAAATGCATTTATGATATTGTTCTGTTTGGATTGCAGGCCACAGTTTGGTCCATTTTAGCTTGTTAATTTAGATTATGACTCAAGAGACTAAGAAGAAGCTAGAGTTCATTAGACTGAAAGCTTCTTCAGAGCAGTGGTTGTTTTGCCTTCCTTTCTATCTGCCCACTTAGCACAGTGCCTAGTACACAGTAGGTGCTTAATAAATGCAAATTGACTGACTGGACTGTATGTTTATAAAAACCTCGAGGGCAAGAATTTTTCCAGTATATTTCTGCTGGCCACCCCCACCCCTACCTTTCCAATAGTAATGGCACCTAGACTTCAGTAAATGGGTATTGCATCTTCATTGATTTGAATTGCTTCTGTCATTCATTGAGCTGAAATTTCTTGTTTTATTTCACAGCAAAGAGCTCCAGGGAAGGTGTTGCTGGATGCAGTTTGTAACCACCTAAACCTAGTTGAAGGAGACTACTTTGGCCTTGAGTTTCCAGATCATAAAAAAATTACGGTAGGTGAAATAATTTTAATCCTTCATTCAGTTTATAAGTCATCGGGTTTGGGGGTTAGGCATCAATCAAATGCTTATAGGTAAAAGAAGAATTACTCCCATCCTCAAATGCACTTCTTTTCTCCAGGTCCCATTTTTGTTTCTTTTGCTTTTAATAATGAAGGATATGCTCTTAAAATTCTTGTGTCATATACCATTAAAAAAAATTCAGGAGTCTATGGGCAAAACCTACCACAGCAATCATGGTCCCATCCAGTTATGGGAAGAGGAACAGAGTGCTAACAGGAAGCTAATGGGATAAAAAACATTCATGTTATACCACCCTCTAAACACACATCCATAGTAATCTCTTTTATTAGTATGGCATATGACTCTACCTATCAAATTTCCTCCACAACACTAATCATCCTGTACTTCTGTTATGTTATGATTCCCTACCCCCCCAATTCGTTCCGAATTGTAAAATGTTGATACTATAGAAGGGTCCCATGAAACTATCATTTCTAGGCTTTATCAAGCTTTAATTTTTAGGATTTTGAATTCTCCTTATACTATGCATATTTATGACAATTTTAAACTTAATTATTAAATACAGCATGTCTTATATTATCATAGTGTGCATATAAAATGCTTAAAAATCCTGAAACCTCAAATGTTAAATTTTAATATTCAGTCTTGACATTATTGCAGAACTTTTCTTCACATGTTTTCTGACCTGATATTTTACCTAATCTAGGAGCTACATATGATTTTGCCCCATTTGAATTTAGAATTGAACAATTATTTTCAACCCTACTTTTTCCTCCTTTAAAATTGGAGCTCTAGTTCTGCCCTTTTGCAGAGGTGGATTCAACAGGTGTTAAATATCGTGCATATTTTCAAACATTTTTCAATGTACTGATTAGTTATGCTGAATCCCCCCCCCTTTTTCTTTTTTCTTTTGTCTTTAAAAACAAAACAGCAACAACAACAACAAAAAACCAAATGCTGACACCCTGGGAAGAGGTTGGGAAGGAATATTTGGGGAAATTATGTTGATTTTAAAAAAATCAATAAAAGCCTATTTTTAAAGTAAAACATGTTGGCATGGGATTTTGCGTAAATATTCAGACATGCATATTTTATGCTAATGCAGGACTTACTGATTTGTTGTTTTGTGGGAGAAGAGGAAGGGGCTACATTGTGAACTTTGGGAGCAGTAGCAATAAAAGAGATGAATTCAGAATCCCTATTTCTTTTTATGATCAAATTTATGTTAGTGGATTTAAACTGCTTGGCTAATCCTAAATGTGAGTTGATATTGTGGTTATTATTTTTATTATTTCTAAGTGGGTGAGAAAGTGATTGTATGTGTTCTGATGTAGTCCAATTTATATTATTTTCATGAAACTCTCCCTTTATACTTTGCCCCTTTGCCCGTGACCATAACTGAGTAAACTTCACCTGCTGTTGCTTCCTGCAAGCAGTTTGGTTGCTAATCCATAATGGTGACTTTGTTTAAAGACTAGTGCTATTTTTAAAAATTTTATCTATTTTGTTCTGAACTTAAGAAATTAAACAAGCATTTCTAAAGCTTAGTAGAATCAGAAAAAAAGATGATTGCACGTGAAACTGCAAATCTATTATTTACAACTTGCTATTACCTTTGAATATATAATAAAGTTATCATGTAACTATTTTTTCCTGATTTTCTTCCTCTCCCCTGCCTTCACCCTAGAAGTGGCTATTTCTTAAATATTATTTTTTCTTTGTGTCTAATGGTAGCCAAGTCTAGGGTATGAGGTGGGGGAGGGAAGGAAAACAAAGAAATTTACATGATAACTATTATATTTAAAAAGAATAGCAAGTTGTACATAATAGATTTACAATTTCATGCACAATCATCATTTTTATTATACTATGTTATGGAAATGCTTGTTTTATAGCATAAATTTTTTTAAAAATGAAATAAAAAAGTATGAGAACCCCAAAATCCTTTACTGTAACTTCAAATTGTCAAATTCACCTAAGACTAGTCGAGAGACAGACTCTTCAGATCACAAACCTGTGCTGATTCTGTAATAATCATCATCAGCAGCATTTGATTTGATGGAAAGGGCAAAATGAGATGATTTTTTAAAACTTCTATTTTATGTTGCCCAGACCTGCATTTTTGAAAACCACATGCCTAGTTGGCTCTCGCTGATGTTTGTGTCTGGTGGTTTTCACAAAAATGCCAAAGACTGAATAGAGTTGTTGTTGCTGTTTGAAAACAGTTCTAAAAATGTTGCCAAGATATAGGTTACTTTGTCCTGAATTGCTTGCAAAATGTTTTTTTCTTTTTGGTCTGTACATGTCTGTGATTTCATTTATGTAGGGAGATTCCCATGAACAACCTCAGTTTCCAAATGCAATTCTGCAACTGTTAGGCAGCTTAGGGACTTAGGGAGTTGCCTAGGTTTCTTAGACATTAAATGACTTACCCAGAGTCACTCAGCCAGTCTGAGTAAGAGAAGACCAGGTCTTTGTGTACCATGCCCCTCCTCTTCGCCATATATAAGTGGAAAATACAGAGGTAATATGAAGCATCAGAAATTAGTGATAACATTTGATTTCCATTTTAAGACTGTATTGTCTATGAACATCAATATAGCTAATTGAAAGGAAGTTTAATACTATAATTTCATCTTTCTTTTTCTTGGGGGAGAGGATTGGCAAAGGGCTGGAAAAGTGTAGTGAGTGGTAAGGATAATTTAATTATAAAATCTTACTAATTTAGATCTAATAAGAAAGAAGGCTAGCATGAATTAGTGAAGTAAAGATTATGGAATCAATGAATTAGAATATTTTAAAGGAAAGTAATTTTTATTAATTTCAAGCATGTAAAGTAACTAATCACCAACAGAATATTATTGGGTAGAGAGACCTTACCAAATTTGTTTTAATGAATAGATAAGATTAATTTATAATTATAGTAAAATCCTGTTACATGAGAAATCATTGTGTTAGTATCTTAATAGTTTATAATTTTGGGTGATTCTTTTAAATATATGTACATGTGGTCTGTTAATTTGAGAATAAACTCAACTCAGTGTGGGGTGGGAAGATAAATTTCATCTCAGTCCACATCAAACTGGAATAGTGGCTTCTCCCAGAATTTGACATTCCACTGCCCCTTCATTGCACAAAGTATTCCCCATGCCTAGATTGCCCTCTTCCCTCACAATGTACCTATCAGAATCCTTATATTCCTTCAAGGCTCAGCCTTTTTTCCATAATTCCTTCAGTTGGTAGTGAATTCTCGTTCAATAAAACCACAAAAGTACCTATACAAAAAAAACCAGCAAGGACCTTACGTTATATTTGGGGGAACCTTCTATATACCTATGGCTTTGGGAGTTGTGTTTTAAGCAGTCTTGTGATTTCTTCAGTGTAGAGGTCTCTCAGTGAGTAGCTCGCATGACTCATGCAGATTGGAAACTTCTTCAACTTATAATTTTATAGAGTTACCTGGAATACTGAAAAGTTAAGTGACTTGCCCAGAATTGCAATGGTCTGTATAAAAGAGAGGAGAATAATACAAGTCTAGCTGACTCTAAGCTGAGCGCTCTACCTACTACACTGTTCCTTGACACATAATTATCTTGCTTAAATCACCCTATATTTGCTTATCTGTGAAGATGATGTGTGCTTCCAGTGAGAATGAGTTCCTTGAGAGTAGGGACAATGTAATTTTTGTCTTTGTATGTCTAGTGCTTGGCATAGTGCTTTGCCAATAGTACATGCTGAATGGATGTTTGTTAAATTGAATTGACATTCACAAAATCCAAATTAGTGGAATCCATATTAATTTAGGTTGGTAAAGAGGGGAAAGTGATGAATCTACTTTTTTAGAAGTAAACTGGATCAATTTTCAGTAAGTTCCACCAATTTAAAACTTGAAACTTGTCCTTCACATTTGAAAGGTGTCACACTGGAATACTTTTTGTTTATTTGAGAGACAGGAGGAGACATGCATACTTCACAGAGCTCACAGCCAGGACTGATGTTTTCTGAATTGTTGGCAAAGGTGAAGTGCAAATGAAAAGAGAAAAATTCTTAGTGTGCTCTGTTAGTCACTTGTGGAGTTGAGGCTAGGTTTTGATTTTCAGGATCATTCTAAGCAGTAGCAGATTAGCTTATTCTGTTCCATGAAAACAGCAGACAATGCAAGAGATCTTGTTCTGGAGAATTAAGTAGCAGACGGTACAAAATACACTGAAAAAATATTTTGAATTTCAACAGATTTGAGCAATCTGAAAATGTTTGTAATTATTCATTAGGATCTGATGTCTCAATCTGCTTTTCTTTTAGGTATGGCTGGATCTTTTAAAACCTATTGTGAAACAGATCAGAAGTAAGTATATTTGTGTATTTAACAGTGCTGGTAAATGCTGAATTAGAAGTAGCTTTCTTTTTACATAGTTAAACGTAGAGTCTTTGGAGAGTGCTTTTATTTTTTTCCCCCAGTCTCTTTGGTTGTCTTTCATCATCCAGCATTCTATGATCTTTGAAAATTATACTGTTTTAAATGTAACAGGTTGGCAATCAGAAACTGATTTTGCAAACCAAAAATATCTTTGATTAGTATCTAGCACATATCATTAAGCCAAAGAGTAATTTGGTCTTTCATACATGTACACACGCGCGCGCACACACACACGCACACACACACACGCACACACATATGCATTTATTACTTTTTAGCTCTCATATCCTATTGCCACCTCCAAATCTGACCTTTTTAAAAAGCTATAAAATCAAAGTGTGAAGAGTTAAATTCATGTTTTCTTAATGTCAAGTGTATAAGTCTATGCTGAGATTTTTTTTTATTGTGAGCAGTTATCTGAAAGGAGGCCTATTTTTATACTCTCCACTGAATATTAATTTTGCGTTCAACTTTTCAAAATTTAACTGGAGAAGCTACGAATGTAGAAAGTGAAATATGTTAATTCACTCATTTAGTTAAAGTTACTGGGATTTTTTAGTAATTCCCTTATTTCACATGGGCACATATGAAAGAGAAGACACATTAATCCTTGTCCTAAGGAAGTTTGCAGTCTAAAAGTGTTGTAATGAAAACATTCAATTTTTATATGAAATAAAGATGGTCACTTTTTTTTAGTGTTGTAAAGATGCCTATGTAATGAGCATGAAAACATGAAATTCAGGATAGCAAAATCCCCACAATATACCTTCATTTCAGAAGTGGTTTGCCTGTAATAAATGTGTTGCAGTAACTCTCTTGAGGAATATTTGCTTTGTTTCAGACAATTTGATTTGACCACAGGAATGGAGGGGGTCATCTTCTAGTTAGCATTACTGTCTACCTAGCTTTGATATTTCCCAAGCAATCTAAGGATAGAGCCTGGTAGTGATTTAGTTTCCATGGAAATCATTGAGGGGAGTTTGAGTGTCTTACCCTTTGACTATAGTAGATATACAATATAGCAACTGAGATAGGAGGAAACATTCTGTGTTCACTTTCATTAACCTACTGAAAAGCCCTGTGCTCAACTTTTGATGAATTTATTGCTGCTGTTGTATTTTATTTCTGTATTTAGAGTGTCAAGTTTTTTGGCTTTTTGTGAAGATGCTTTTCCTTCTGTTTCTTATATCTGTGTCTAAATTCTCTATGTGATCACAGAAAATTAGAATCTGGTACCATATCTCTTGTGTCAGAATAAAGCAGGACTAAATTTTTCCCACTTCTGTTTCCTTTGGAAAATTCATGTGAAGAGTTTATTCACTGACATGTATTTTGATGTGTAAATTCAGTTCCAACATTTAAAATCTTGAAACTAATGAGAGACTTCATTTGGTTTATACAACACAGCCCTAAACTGTGACCTGCTTTACACAGCTTCACATCCAAAAAATAAAAATGTCCCATGTTTACATCTTAGCAGCAAGCTCTTTCTAACGTACTTAACTTAATAAATCTTTTTTATAGAAAATTTTAAAAATCAAGAGTTTATTTCAATTTTCAATATATGTTCTTTCCATTTTTTTGTTTAAAACTACAATGTTTATTATAGAATTGGCAATCAGTAAATCATTTCTGGGACATTTTGGAAGCTCTTTTTCTTAGAAATCAATGTTCCATGTAGAGAACTTAAAGATTACTTCTTTTCCATTTCCCTTAGGGCCAAAGCATGTTGTTGTTAAATTTGTGGTGAAATTCTTTCCACCTGACCATGCTCAACTTCAAGAAGAACTTACAAGGTTAGTGTGTAAGTGTATTCTGTTAGTGGCAATTGTATAGTTTTTATGGTATTTTCTGGACCAACATGTGCTCTCATATTTAACCCACAATTTATATATAAATTTTTTGCCTTTATATATATAAATATATATGTAAATATATGTAATATATAAATGTATATTTATAATATATAATATATACATATACATTTATATATGAAAATTTTATATATAAAATTTTTACCTTTTTGCCTGGTCTACTTTTTATAAAAATGATTTTAAGTGGATTAAATGTGATTAAACATGGGATGTGTTGCACGTTTACTTCTTTCTTAGATATTTTTTCATTATGCCTTAGAACAATTCTAGTAATTCATTTCTGAAGCCACAGTATAATCTCAATATCAATATAGTCTTAATATATATTAATGAGAATCAGGGGTGGAGGTATAATGAATAAAGATCTTGCCGCTGGAGTCAGGAAGATGTAAGTTAGTCTCACCTGTGATACATACTGGCGGTGTGATGGTGGACAGGTTGTTTGTTTTCCCAGTGCCACAGGCAACTCTTTGAGACCAACAAGTTGCAGAGAAAGATATAAATTATTGGTAGAAGTTATTCATTGGGAACTCCCTATACTGATGAGAACATAAGTCTATTTTTTTAAAAAATGCCATTCTGCTTCAACACTTTAGATTATCTTTCATTTCATCTACATGTGTTCTACCCCCAGTAGTACAGATCTCTTCCCATCCGTCGATGCCCTCTTCTCCTGTGCTACTCTAGTCTGTTATTTTTCACAGGAGTCACCTAAAATACCTATTAATGTCTCGAGAGAGTGTATGCTCTCTTCTCTAGAGATGAGTGAGTGTTGTCTTAAATATCAATATTCTTAATAATTTGTTTTTCCACTTATTAACAAAGAGTAGGAACACTCTTTTTTTCTCAGGGTGTGTAAGCATGAAGCTCGCTGGCCAGGAGAATATAAGCTGCTTCAAGGCCAGGGCCATGTTTTGTATATTTCTTTCTAATCCTTCACAGTGCTTAGCACTTACATAATCAATGAATATTTGTTGAATGAATGAATACATAGTGAAGATTGTGCTTTTTAATTTTTTCACAAGTGATTATCTGATTCACTGTTATCAGCTTAAGACTAAAGAAAGCAATTATTAATGGGTCAAACTCTTTGGCTTAAAACTCTTGACTTCACAATCAGCCTTCTGGGGACTTTTTGATTTTTAATAAAGCTCCCAATTTAGATGAGAGGTGGTAAAGTTTAGTGAATACTATGGTGCATAATCTGCTTAGGAAGACCTGGTTCAAATCCCATCTCAGAAACTCATTAGCTGGGTGAACATCAGCCTATCTTTCTAAGCCTCCTTTTCTTTTTTGTTTTTAAAACTGGAAGAGTAATTGCCAGTAAGCCTCTTGTGATACTCCAGTGAGATAATGTATGTCAAGAGCTTTGCAAAAACTTTAATGTGCTGTATAAATGGTAGATTTTTTTTTATTTTTATTTTGAGGGGCACTTATCCTTTGGACAAGCCTCAGGTAATTTTGGAGGAAAGTTTTCTACCAATCCCTACTGATAACTTAATACACTTCACTGTCTTTGGTGATAATATATGATTTTTGATAAATTGGCAGCTGCTGTAAGCATATGAAAGAGTCAGCAAACATTTATTAATCATTTACTGCATGCCAGGCACTATACTAGGCACCAAGGATAGAAAGACAGACAAAAACAGCCCATATGTTCAAGGGGCTTACACTCTAATGGAGGAGACTACATGTAAATAATTCCATATATATTTGGCATACAGGGTAGAAGGTAGGGAGTGTCACAAATGAGTAAAAAAGTATTTTGTTATATGGGTTTGGTTCACCAGTTCAGTGATCCTCCTTTATTTTTCATTGTGTCCCTTGGTTCAGTTTATGAGGTTTGAGAGGAAAATTATGTTGCATCCATTATTCTGTTCTTTATGGTCACTTTTGAGCATTTCTTTTTTCAGAAAAGGAAAGGGGAAGAATCCAGTTCAGTGTGGATGACTTTTTTAAAAAAATTTTTCCCCTATTGAGTTTCTTGATTTATACAATAAAATCTTGTACACCTTATTGTCATCAAACCAAACCTGTGTGAGTACTGAGCCAGCTTCTCTATCAGAACAGATAAACATCGGCAGTTCTACATTTTCAGCTGCAGGTATTAAGTTTGCTTTCTTCCGACTCTCACTGTGGTCATTAAAAAAAAAATTTTTACCATGAGAAAATTCCTCCAGTACAGTGTGAAATAAAACTGATCTGAAATTTCTGATCTATTAAAATCTGATGACAGCAACCAACTGGTGTTATAAGGTAAATAACATCTGCTTAGTCTCTTGAAATGCTCTGAGAGTCAGTCAGAGCTGCTCACATTGCCAGATTCCTATATCAGCAAAATCAGACTATAAAGCAAGTAAGACATGACGTACATTCTCATTGTAAGGGTTTCATGATGCTTTCAGTGTCTCAAGTATGGACTATATAAGACAAGTAAGGAGACATTAGAGTTGAGCTGAATATGAACTCTTCTAATTGTGCCATTAATCTTCTGGTCGTCCAAGAATTGTTCTCCCTTCGCATTTATATAGACATAAGATGGAGTGGGTTAAACTTTTCTGTTGAACAAGAAGAAATAAAATTCCTTCATATTTATTAAATAGCACAAAAACCTGTAGTTCCTTTGTATATTACAGGGAAAACAGGGGGGAAATATATAAGTATATATGAATTTGTTGGGTTTTTTTTACTTTTAAAAGCTCATTTTTTTCCCTCGTTGTGGAACCCTGAGTCATTTATTCTGTGTTGACCAGCCTTGGCATATTTCTATGTGCAAAGTATCTTTTCTTTCTGTCACAGGGAGCATATTTTCCCTAGAAACAGTCACTGATCCCCTCTCCAGCTGGCCATGAGTTTTCCTGTGAATGGGATGGATACTATTTGAAGTGACTGCTGCAGCTTGCTGACAGATTGAAGCATCAAGTGTTTGCTGTTGTGTCTTCAGACTAGCAGAGAAGTTAGGAATTTCTTCTGTGAAACACACATACCAAAAAAAAGAAAAGGGCAGAAATTAGATAAGGACTCTCAAGTGAAGCTAACTAAAATAAAAATTTAAAAAGGAAAGCATAAAAATCAGTGTTACTACAACTGTTAGATTCCCTCTTTCCTACTGAAAGTAAGAAGAAAAGGCAATTCTGAGCTATTATCACCAACCAAACCTGGAATGACATTTTCTTTGTGTTTTCAGAGTAATTTTGGCAAGCTGCTGAATGTGATATTGTACAAATAAACAAAAAAACCACACTCACTTCTTAGTTCTGATTGTGTGAGAATCAATCAGCAAATGTTTATTCAATACTTATGTCCCAAGCACTGCGGATACAACTAGGCAATAGTATCAGTCCTCAAGGAGTTTTATGTTCTATTGGGGTAGGAGGGGGGAATACAGCCAATGTTCTCAGATAGGTAAGTATAGGATAAATTAAAAATAAATATAAAATGATGGAGGACGAGGGACAGACCAACAACTAAGTGAATAAGGAAAGGAAATTTTCCATCCAAAGTGCTGAGGACTTTGTGTTTTCTTCAGTGTCAGAAATGTTTTCCAGTTACCTGGCAAATATTAATGATCTCCTTTGAGGAGCCTTTAGAACCATGGGTTTCATTAAGAATATTTATACCTGCAGTCAAAGTTCTGGGAAAAGACCAGGATCAGATATGTGCCAGTGCCCCCAGGCAACAGGGGTCTCCAGGCAGCCTACAACAACCTCATGGATTTCCCCAGCTTGGTCACCTGATTGCCAACGCTGGCCAGAGTGTTCCACCTGTGGTAGAGCATTCCAAGTTCCTATTAGTCTGATCAGCCATAGTCAGATACACTGTACCTTGAATCTAACATAGTGATGTCACTTTGGTCCTCTTCCAGAATGAAGGATGGCAACCCACCAACCAATTATTTATACCCAGACCCTATAGACATCCAAGTCTTAATACTATCTCAGACTCAAAACCCTATAGAGAAGGGAACTTTGGAGTTTTGATGTATATTTATGGAGAACAGTGTAGAACTTTTAAAACAGAGAATAGTGATTTATGCTTTATGTTGGACAAGAATCTTAGTGTCATAAACCAACCAAACAAGAAGAGTCACTAGAAAGTTGGGCTGGGGAAGAGGTTGGAGAAACAATGGAAATTGCTTCCTTTAGTCTTGAAAAAGGCACCTGGTCCTCTAAAAAGGCATGCTTTCAAACCCCGACAGCACTTAAAGCCCACATAATGACTACTTCCAAATATCAGCAAAGCCTGGGATTCTCCCCGTGGATCTTTTCATGATCGCTTATTTGTTAAAACATAACGAGTATGTTTTTGAGATGGTAAATGCTATAGTATTTAAAATGTAAGAGTTTTAGTACAATAAGGTCCTCCGCTTTGTATTTGAAAAAAAAATTAGCCATGTAAATGTGAATTTCAACATATCAAAATAGTGGTGTCTTTTTTTAAATAAATGATGCAATCATTATCTGAAAAGAGATTATTATACCATTTTGTATACCTCTTCCTTCCGCTTTGTATTTCTGAACTATAGAGATCGTCTACATGTACTATTGAGTTTGCTTTGTTCATATCCTGTTTTTTTCTCTGGCTTCTTCCTTTCCTTTCTTAATAGATAGAACCAAAGGCTATGTGTATACATCTGTGTAAAATGTTGGTCCTAGGGGAAATTTTAAGAGTTACCCTTGAATCTTAAATTTGGAACTTAGAGGCCTTGGGGCACATTTAATAATTGACATTAGAAGATGTTATTTCAAGTTTTATCTGACATTATTGAGGGGACAGATGATGGAGAAGAGGCCCACCTGCTTCATCACCACAGGTAGCAACTGCTGACTAGCCACCAATGATGGCTAGATGGGCACTTTGGCAGATGGGCATAAGAGCCCTGAAAGTGATAGCGTGGTCTTCAGTGCCATTGTCTGAGGAAGCATCTCTTGTGGAGAGAGGCCCAAACATCCCCACCAGCTGCTGAACAACTGCTGCCCACAGGGCAGGTCAGCCAATCTAGCTGAAGCAATAGGACACCCTGAAGGAGAGACAGGAGGCCACATGTGTCAGGTGAGTCAAATCACCACCACAGTCTTGACCACCATCTTCTCTCAGATGCTAGTGGAGACAGACTCAAGAGCCTTAGGAACAACCATGCTTCTAGCATGTTCCCTTTAGCAAGCATCCTGGGAAGCAAGCCATGTGAAGATGCAGCCTGGGAATTGCTCCTGCAGGTGTAATAGCATCAGCTACTGAAGACCTAGAAAAGAAAGTCCTTGCCAACTAAAGCCCTTGGAAATGTCAAGTCATTTAACATCAGAAATTGATAATGTTTTTATCAACAGAAATTGCATTAAAGAAGAGACCTTGAACTGCTAAGACCTCAAAACCTTTCAATCTGATTTGCAGCTGAAAGCTTCCATACATGCTATCTCCCCATTAGAATGTGAGCTCTTTGAGAGCAGGGACTCTTTGAATTTTCTATTGGTATCCCCAGTGCTTAGCATAGTGCTTTGTACATAGAAAGTCCTTAATAAATGCTTATTTATTCTACCCTCTCTTCCTCCTTCCTCCCTCTCTCCTTCCCTTCCTTCCTCCCTCCCTCCCTCCCTCCCTCCCTCCCTCCCTCCCTGCCTTCCTTCCTTCCTTCCTTCCTTCCTTCCTTCCTTCCTTCCTCCCTCCCTCCCTCCCTCCCTCCCTCCCATTTTCTAAACCATATGGGAAATAATCCTGTAGAGGGTGACTATACTGGTTAGGACTATAACTTTCAAAATCTAACACAACTACTCACTTAAAAAAAATTTATTATGTGTGCTAACCAAAAGATTTTTTCTGAAGAAAACCTAGTAGTATAACGTGATAGTACTGGACCTGACTCTATCATTTGCCAGTTGTGTGACCTTGTACAAATTATTTCATTTCTTGGAGTCCCTGTTTCCTATTCTGTAAAATAATATTTGTTCAAGATAATCAGGATCAAATGAGATAAAGTAGAATTTGGTATTATGGCTCTAGAACTGGAAGGGATGTCAGAGGCCATCTAACCCAACCCCTCATTTTAAACACAGGAAAACTGAGCTCTAAGGAGATTAAATGGCTTTCCTAAGGTTACACAGGTAGTAAGTGTTAGAGGAAGGATCATGAAGAGGCATGTAAGTATAAGCTATCATTTTTATTTTTAGGTGAGATAGATATTTATATTGTCATTACTCATATGCAGAATCTAATTATGATGAATATCAAGTCTAAATTATTTTTTGTTTTGGGTTTAGCCTTTAAGTCCAAGGATTTTTTTCAGTTTTTCTTTGGTTTCTAACTGTGCAGAGAACTTGTTGCCAAGGGAGAGTCTAATCTTAGTATCTCTTTTCCTGGGCTTGGTTGATTCATGTTCTCTTCTGTGTTTGCAGGTACCTGTTTGCTCTGCAGGTGAAGCAGGACCTGGCTCAGGGCAGGCTAACATGTAATGAAACCAGTGCTGCACTCTTGATCTCACACATTGTACAATGTAAGTCTTACTCTTTTTCCTTTAAAAAATTAGCTAGAAAATGACCCAGGAGTTTGGAACATAAACTGTCGTGCTCTTCCTACACTATCTCCATGGCAGGTGGCGGGGGGGGAAGACCACATAGGTACAGTCACTGTGATCATCACAAACAAAATGAAACATTAAAGTATCAAATCTGTATTCTGATGTTTCTTTGACTTCTAAGGACTATGCCCCACAAATTTTCTGAAAAATATTTGAAAAAATGGCAAGTAGCTTGTTTTATTTGAAAGGGACAGTGTTTTAGTATTGATATTCGTTATCTCTCATAGTCACTATTAAAGCAAAGACTACCACCAATTCATCCTCTCATTTTGTGCTGCCTAAAGTAAAACAGGACACTTAGAATGACCAATTGAAACTTAGTGATTTCTGAAGGTAGGTATTTTAATTTGTCTTTATCTAGAAATATTAGAAATGAGATTATGGTCATCCTTGTTCAGACCTACTGATAGTCTATCCAAGCTATTTTTAATCAGACAACTTTAAATGATAGGTATATGAAGTGCAATATGTGTCTTCTGTTTCTGGGAAGGTTACTTTATGAAAATCAAATGTGAAGCATTTAAGCTCTGCCAAAAGAAGATTAAAGTTGTCTTTGTCTTATCGTTTTTAATTACCTTTATGTAAAATGCAGTACTCTGTTCAGCACTGCCAAATCTGAATTACTTGCCCAGTTAAGAAGCTTCTTTTGTTTCTAGAGAATAACATCTTTGTCGATTGTGGGGAAAACTCATTGTTTTTATCTAATAAGATGGGATATTCGAAAGAACTTTTCTTCTTAGTCTTGTCTTTGGCAGTTGCTGACACATTTGTTCATTTAAATTCTTTTCTACTTTCTGTCAATCAGTCAATATTTATTTGGAGCTGTCTATTTAGTGGGCTCTAAGTGCTTTCTCTTTTTTTGTTTAGAGCATTCATGAAAACAAACACAATCACCTCAGAGACTTGCTGTGTTACTTATGGTTTGAGATTTGGTAACATTTTGTTTTTCAGAAGTAAGTTTATTCCACTTTTCATGTGCCAGCCATATATATTGTGATAGGAACAGGGAATGTTTTAGTACAGAGTGTATTCCCCTCCCTCTCTTTTGGCATTCCTTCAGCTCAAATGATTTATTACTTCTCCTACATAATGTGAAGTTTGAAAATATGACTTGCTTATCTAAGTAGTAACTTCATGAGAAATTACTGAAGCATCTTTTTTCTTTCTTTCTGGAAGAGAAGAAACCTTGCAGTGGTGGGGGGAGGAAGGGAGAAGAGTATTCTCCCCATTCTACTTGGATTTCATACTTTTTTTTCTCTGAAAAGAGTTCTAAATTGTTTTTCCACTGCTCTAGAAAGACTTCCATGCATTTCATTCATCTGAGGAATAACTACCTAAATTTTTTTTCATTGTCCTAACGCAGAATTCCTAAGTACCTTTTTAATACAATGAAATTTGCTTGTATATATAAAAACTAAGAATTCACAAAGCTCCAGAGAACCTTTTTTTTTCTTTTCTCTCTCTTATCTTCTAAGGAGCCAATATGGCACTAAAAATCTCTTACAAATCTTGAATTCTCTAAAAGAAATGACATTGTGGAGTTCAGAGGTACTTATATTTCTGTATATTTATCATATGGTCATGAGAAACATACATTTTCTATCCTTCTATTATTATTGAGAATCTAGAGCCTAAATGTAGTATAAGGTAGCATGCTTTGCAATTCACAAGTACTGAATAATTTAAAGGGAAAAAATCCTCAATGACAATTTATCTGGTTGGTTGAAATTGTTAAATACTCTATTGATTATTGCAAAGATGGAGGGTGACTACAAATGCATGGCATAGTCCCATAAGAATACCAGGAGGAATATGAAGCTTATCCTGAGCTGAGACTGGCACAAAAAAAAAAAGCTTATAAAAATTTTTTAAAAAGCCTTAAATTGGTAGAAATAGAAAGATTCAGGAAAGAACTGGACTGATATTCCTGGTATGTGAAATGATGATAACGAGTGATTTGGAGAAGAAAGAGCTGCTCAGTTATCATTTTCCTACTCTTTTCTCTCCAAAGAAAATGACCTTTGGATTAGAAAGGACAGAACCAAAATGACCATGGAGGACAAGTGGAGAGGTAACAAGAGAGCACCTATTGAACTTGGTGAATTCAGTTGACCAGGTCCCAAAGAACTACATCCCAGGCTCAAAAGAACTGGCTGAGGTGATTGCTACCATGGAGATATTACTGGAACACAGATATAACTGTGCCATACTGTCACTCATACATCTTCAGTGGCTTTCTTCTGCCTATATAATAAAATTCAAAATCCTCATCCTGGCATTTAAAGCCCTTCATAATCAAGCTCTTATCTACTTTTCCCATTTTATTTCGTATTACACATCTTCACACACTCTGCAGTCCAAACAAGTTGGCCTGCTAGCTTTTCCCCATACATATGATATTTCATCTTATGCCCCCATTCCTTTCCATAAATGGTCCCAATGTCTGGAATCCATTCACTTCTTACTTAATCTCTGGCTTCTTTCAAAGTACAGCTGAGGTGCTATCTGCTCCATAAGACTTTCCTTCATCACCCAGCAGTTATTAACATTCTCTGTGTCTTATCATTTTATCCTTATTTGTATATTTTATATGTACTTTTATACACATTGTATCCCATCTCTATTCCCCTGCAGAATGTAAGGTCCTTGAGGGAAACAACCTTTAGTGTATTTATCCCTTTTGCATCCCCAGTGCCTCATCCAATATCATGCTCACTTAATAAATATTTGCTGAATTGAATTGAATTCTCTGATAGTTAAAAGATTGTAAAGAAAAGTGAGGTCTAGCAGGACTGGAAAAGGCAAATGCTTCAGTTTTCAGAAAGGGAATAGTAATAAGAGTTGTTAACAATTGTGTAGTCCTTGAGGAAAAAGCCATTGAATTAACTTTTGAATCTTGGCAAAATTCCATAATATATCATTAGAGAAAGCAGTGATCACAGAGGCAATATGCTTTTATCAAGAACAGGTGTATTTTAACATCAGTTTTTTTTAATAGGGGTACTAAACTTGTAGGTTAGGGGAATGCCATAGTTATAATTTACTTAGGTTATATGAAAGCTTGGGGCAAAGTTTCTCCATGCTATTCTTGTAGAAAAGATGAAACGATGTTAGCAATAACATAATACAGTTAGTTGTCTTTGAAAGATAGCAGAATGACTGGGCCCAGAGACTATTTACTAGTGCCTCCATGTCAGCTTAGATTTGAGTGTTCCAGGGATCTGTTATGTTAATATTTTTATCTGTATGCTGATTCAGATCTTTATCAATGACTTCAATAAGGCATAGATGGATATTTACAAAACTTGCAAATAACAAGAAACTGGAATAAATAGCAAACACATTGACTAACAGATTGAGGCTCTAAATGTTTTGACAAACTGGAACATTGGGCTAGATTTAATAAGATAAAATTCACCAAAAATAAATGCCTGTGGGCATTATTTCTAACTGCATATCTCAGTTCAGTCCAAATCTTACTAAAGAAAAACCAACTTTATAAAAAGAACGGGGGAAGTATATAGTTGTTAGACTTGGAAAAGATCTGGAAGTTTTAATGGATTGTAGAGTGAGACAACAGAACAGTATGCTATGGTAGCTAAAATTACTAATGTATGTTGCACATGTATAACCTGTATCAGATTGCTTGCCATCTTGGGGTAGGAGAAAAATTTGTAACTCAAAATCTTTCCAAAAGTGAATGTTGAAAATTGTCTTTACATGTAATTGGAAAAAAAATACTATTTAAAAAAACCAGAGTCTAAAAATAAAATTACTAATACCATGTTGGGCTGTACTGAGAAAGACAGTATCCATGATAATCTTGTACTCTGCTCTTGAGTACTGTGTTCAGTTAAGAACGAACAGCACATTTTATTAAAGAACATATTATCGACTAAGTTAGTGAGCATCCCAAGGGGGGTGGCGAAGGGCCTTGAAATTTATTGGAGGAATAAGGACTTTTGACATGGAAACAAGAAGCCTTTGGATATTGGTGAGGGAAAGATACCTGTCTTCAAGTATTTGAAGAATTGTCACTTGGATGAGAGATTAAGACTTCCCTTTGACCCAAGGGGCATAATTAAAATCAATGGGTGAGAGTTGCAGAAAAACAAATTTAGATTTAATGTTATGGAATATGTCCTATTAGAAAGCTGTCTGAAAGTGAAATGGCTGCCTCGTGGAATAGTGAGTTTCTATCATTTGTTGGGCAGGTTGTAGGTGGAATTCTTTTATGGCTATGGATTAGACATAGATGGTCTCTGTTGTCAAATCCAAATCAGATTCCGTGAATTATCACTTTGTTTTATTTTTCAAATTCTATTTAAGACTGGTCATTAAAATCTGAATAATTAGAATTGAAAATTACTTCAAAGTTTCATCTCCTCTTAATCTCCCTAGCAGCAATTCCAAACCTTCTCTCTTCTAGCTTGCCTCACCCTCTCACCTCCATTCATATTTTACTGATAAAATAGAAGTAATTTGCCACAAATTCCCCCTTCTCTACATCTCAGAATTCCTTGGCATCTTTCATGCAGAGGTAGTCCTTCTCCTAAAGGCAGAACCCTCTTATTTATGTATTTAATCCTGTCTCCTGTCACTTATTGGCATATCACCCTGTAATCATTTCTTCCCTTTCCCTAATCTTCATTCTCTCCATTTCCAGTGGTTTCTTCCTGGCTGTATACAGATGCCCAGTTCTCCATGTCCTTCAAAAATCCATACTAGGTCTAACTCCCCGTATCAAACTAGCATCGTTTATTTCTCCTTCCTTTCCCAGCCAAACTCATGCTAAAAGCAGTCTACACTCTTTGCCTCCATTTCCTCTCTACTCAGTCATTCGTTTCTCTTTGTAGCTTGGCTTCTGACCTCGTATCTCAACTGAAACTGCTCTCTCCTAAATTATCGATGATCTC